TCAACCCCGGGCCCTGAACCCCGAACCCTAAGCAAGTAACCCTAAAGGCCCTGACCCCTAAACCCCAGGCCGTGAACGCCAAACCCTGTGCTGATTGTTCGGAATGTAATTAAATTAGGGTGGATGCCAATGGTTCGGAATTTCATTAGGGTTGGTGGCTACTTTTGCGGTCGGTTGATCGGATTTCAAATAAAGCTTAAACTCAGTTGCCAGAAGTATTGTACGCAGAGTGCAGGATCTGAGGGCCTGCCAGTGAAGTGGTGGGAGGGTTTAGGTATGTTTGTGGGGTCTATCTTCAGTTTCGTTTTTGTTTCAAGGGTTTTGAAGGTGTATCTTTGCAATCTGTTTTCGGGTACACAGATCGCTCTAGCTGGGCTGGGTTCGGGGTTTAGGGGCATTTTGAACACTTGGTGTCGTAGTGGTAGCAAGACCCCTAAACCCAGCCTCACATTCAAGCCTCCAGGCCCAGAACACTTGGGTTTAGGAGGGTTTGCCTAGAGGAGCCGATGCGGGCTTTGGGGTTGGGTTTGGGCCCCCTCCAAAGACCTACATCAAGGGACAAAGGCTCGTACCCTAAGGTTGTACCCCTTAAGGGTCCAAGGTCCCTCCCCTAGAGAGTAGCCCTAAACCCCAAACCCTCCTATGCCTTTTACCCGTTCTATAGGTACAGAGTTACAAAAACCCTCAACCCAGGCTGTCTCATCAGCGTTCCTTGCTGCATTCTCAGGTGATGCCCCCAAACCCTAAACCCTAAACCCTAAACCCTTAACCCTTAACCCTTAACCCTAAACCCTAAACCCTAAACCCTAAACGCTAACCCTAATGTAGTTCTGTGAGGTGATGCGGCAGGCCGTTTTGGGTCAGAACCTCACAGTAGCACCTTGTCGTGGTTTTGGGTTTAGGGTTTAGGGTTTAGGGTTTTAGGGTTTTAGGGCTTTAGGGTTTTAGGGTTTTAGGGTTTTAGGGTTTTAGGGTTTTAGGGTTTTAGGGTTTTAGGGTTTTAGGGTTTTTGGGTTTTTGGGTTTTAGGGTTTTAGGGTTTTAGGGTTTTAGGGTTTTAGGGTTTTAGGGTTTTAGGGTTTTAGGGGATAGGGGATTAGGGGATTAGGGGCTTAGGGCTTAGGGCTTAGGGTGTAGGACCAAGACATCTGATGCTTCTGATTCCGTATGCGGGTGCTCTGGCTCAGACGCTAGCTGAGCAAAGTTGCCCTGAACCCTACACCCTAAACCCTATAAACCCTGAACCCTGAACCCCAAACCCTAAACCCTAAACCCCAAACCCTATCTTGTTTATAGGGATCCGAAGTATGGGCATTAAATATGTCCAGTGTATGCAAAACTAGCATAGCAAGAATTTCTTGTCATAGAACAAATGCTCCAAAGTTCCAAAGGCTCCCTCCCGGCCCTTGTGGCTTAGGGCTTTGGGGGTTTTGGCTTAGGGTTCAGGGTTTAGGGTTTAGGGTAAGGGGTTCAGGGAGCTAACCCTAAACCCCAAACCCCAAACCCCAAACCCTAAACCCTAAACCCTAAACCCTAAACCCTAAACCCCAAGTCCTGACCCGTCCACTGGGAAGCCGTAGCAGGCCTCAGGGTGCCTAGCCGTCGACTCCTTGCGCACCCAAGAACCCAAGCACCTTAGGGCAGTTTAGGGTTTAGGGTTTAGGGTTTAGGGTTTAGGGTTAGGGTTTAGGGTTTAGGATCTAGGAGTTAATTTGGGGGGGTTAGGGGTTTCCGTAAACCCTAAACCCTAAACCCTAAACCCTGAACCCTGAACCCTTCAGGGTTGCATAGCTTGACATCCCAAAAACCCTAGACCCTGAACCCTAAACCCTAAACCGTAAACCCTGAACCCTAAACCCTAAACCCTAAACCCTAAACTAAGGCCAACGCTTCGGATCTCGCCGGGGTCCAAAACCTTTGGCCGGACGCCAAGCGCTTCGGGCTTCTTTGGAACGTGGACCCTGGGGCCGCATGCTGTTTAGGGTTTAGGGTTTAGGGTTTAGGGTATAAGCTGCCCCCACGCTTGGAGGGCTTTTCGGCTGATTAAGTAGTTAGTATGGTGGGCTATGAGGATTATGATCGGGTTTCTCGGGGGTACTAAGTAGACTTCCTAAGTCCCAAGTAGTAACCCTAACAACTCAACCCTCGACATCCCCCAAACCCTAAACCCTAAACCCTGAACCCTGAACCCTGAACCCTGAACCCTAAACCCTGAACCCTATACCCTAAACCCTAAACCCTAACCCTGAAACCTGTGGAGTCCAGGAGTGGACCCGCGTGTGGCTGCCACCCTTTTTCGACCACAAGCGCCTCCTCGTGACGACACTACTTCGGGAGCCGGTAGAGCGCATCCGATCGTACTACTACTTTGCGGCTTGGCGCGGGTCTAGGGTTTAGGGTTTAGGGTTTAGGGTTTAGGGTTTACGGTTTAGGGTTTAGGGTTTAGGGTTTAGGGTTTAGGGGGTTTATTGTGGTTTGGGGATGACGACCTCATAATACGAAACCTCGAATCCCAAGCGCAATGAGCCGTAGCCCGAGACAAGAAGCCCCAGCTAGATTCACCCTTAACCCTAAACCCCAAACCCTCCCCATGCCTTTACACAAGGCAATGTACTTTCAAGGCTTCGGGCACTTTACTTTTGGGGGTTTAGGGTTTGGGGCGAGGGTTCGGGGTTTAGGGTTTAGGGTTTAGGGTTTAGGGTTTAGGGTTCAGGGTTCAGGGTTCAGGATTCAGGGTTTAGTGCCTTTCCGGGTTAGTAGTAGTAGTAGTAGTAGTAGTAGTAGTAGTAGTACCCCGCAAGTCACTCACCAGGTCAACACCCATCCCTCCCACGAGCTCTTCCTGGCCAACCTCCGTTTGCGCAGGCGCCCGAAACTCCGAAACTCCGAAACTCCGAAGCCCTTTGGGTTTAGGATTTAGGATTTTGGGGTTTAGGGTTTAGGGGTAGACACTTAAGCCCTAAACCCTAAACCCTCAACCCCAGCCCTAAACCCCTAGCTTAGCGGGTCTAGGATGCCCTTATTGCGATTCGGCATTCAGCGGAGTCGTGCTGCTGGAAGAGGAGTCATGGGTTCCCTACTACCGCCCCTCTATACGGTTTAGGGTTTACACAAATTGTAAAGGGTTTGTGTCCCGAGTTTTGTCGGTTTTTTTGTTTTTCCAACTTCGTTTTGGGTGGGTGGCTTCAGGTGGGGGTGGGGGGTTGCGGGTTGGGGCGCTTCGGGGGCTCGGGGGTAGTGGGGGTTGCGGGGGTTGGGGTTTGGCGGAGGGTTGGAGGGGATTGTCAGGGGTTGGGGGAGTAGGGGGTGGTGGGGCTAGTCCCGAAGTTTGCTTTTAGTGTGTCGGGTTTTGTAAGGTTTTGGGGGGGTTTTGGCCTACAGGGGCGTTGGCAGCATCTTTTGGGGCTTTCTTTCCCTATTCAGGGTCTTTTTTGATGCCTGAAGGCCATGCTTGTGTCTGCTTTTTTGCACTGTGAGGGTTATTGCACGAGCTGCTCGTAAGGAAACGCGTACAAATTCTACTTATCCTGGCCTTGAGGGTTCAGGGTTTAGGCCCCCCTCTATACTAGCACACACACACACACACACACTCAGATAAGCCATCCTGCCTGGCCTGTCACTAAAGCCCTAAGCCACCTAACCCCTACAACCCCACAGCACGTCCTTGCACCTTGCGCGACTGCAGGGACTATGTGGCCGGGAACATGACGCAGAGGGACTTCAACAACAGGTGCGCCACCTTTAAGAATAGACTTTCAGGTTTTTCGGGTTTATACATGGGGTTGAGGGAAGGGTAACTGTTTGGGCCTTGCAGGGCGGTCTACTTGGCGGTTCAGGGTACTTACCATGAACCTCCAAGCAGGGTATAGGGGACCATCTGGGCTTCCTTGGGGGACCCCATGGCTTGTACGCCCTGGGAGAAGTGCGTGCCCCTTCTGATATCTTGGTGTTAGAGTTTATAGGTAAATCCTGGAGCTTTTGCGGCACTGTCAGCTATATGAACTATTCTATATGATCTGAACCAAAGAAGCCCAAGTTCACCTTACACCCCCCTCTAAACTCTGAACCCTCAATCCGAAACCTGAACCCCACATTCAAAGAGTCTCCAAGGTTCAGCTCCAAGCATCTGAAATCACCATTGTGATAAGCACGAACCCAGTAGGTTTACGGCAGCCGAACTGCTAACCTTAATGTGGGATTCTGAGAACCCCACTTACAACTTACAACTACCGCTGAACACTCTAGCTGGTTTTCAGCCTTTAATCCTGAACCCATTCCGCTTTGTTCTTCTGACTCACTCTTTAGGTAACGCCAAACCGTACGATGCTATCCGATCGGATGTTGCGCGTTTTGGGGATTTGTGTGCTAGGGGTCAGGGTGGTTGTAGGGTTCGGTTTCGGGCATTGTGCGCGCGGGTCACGGGTTGCCATACAGAGCACGGGCGCACGCAAGTGCCATGATGAACCTCGAAGAATGCAGGCCTCTGCCGTTTATCCTCGTTTTACCCTACAGCAAACCCCCAAAACCCTACACCCTACTCTGCTTTATCCTGTATCCGAATGCTTTAGGCCTTGGCCCTAGCCTTCAAAGCCTGTAAAGCCGCAACCTCAAATTAGGGTTTGTAGAGGTTAGGGTTAAGGGTTTTTGGTGGCTTAGGGATTTTGGGGTGTTAGGGTTTCAGGCTTTCAGGGTTCAGGGTCTTTAGGCATCAGGTTACACAAGTCCAAACTCTAAATCTTACATCGAGGCTTGACAAGGGCAGCACGAAAGCTTTGCTGCGATCTCCGCACAAAGGCTCAACCCTTAAAACCCTAAACCCAAGCCCTTAGCCCTAAAGCCCTGAAACCCTAAAACCCTAAAGCCCTCAAGCCCTAAAGCCCTAAAACCCTAAAGCCCCAAAGCCCTAAAGCCCTACAACCGTAAACCCTAAACCCTAAACCCTGAAGCCCTAACGTCCGAAAGCCCAGGTCCCTGTGGGGTGAGAGGGAAGGAGGGCCCAGCATGCCGATTCTGCTCCGGTCCTGCTGCGAATACGAGGTGCTGGGGGGGGGGTCAGGGTTTAGGGTTTAGGATTTAGGGTTTAGGGTGTAGGGTTTGGGGTTTAGGGGTTTAGGGGTTTAGGGGTTTAGGGGTTTAGGGGTTTAGGGGTTTAGGGGTTTAGGGGTTTAGGGGTTTAGGGGTTTAGGGGTTTAGGGTTTAGGGTTTACTGCAATGTGGCGCAGAAGCTGTGGCAACATGCGAAAGGCAGATATCCACAAATCTCTGTTAACCCTCCACCCAACACCATGTAGGTCGGAGGTTGGAGATCTTTACATATGCACGCCTAATATTGACCAGGGATTTGAGCGTGCTGGCTTCAGGGTATACCTGCGTGCCGCTATCAGGGGGTTGGGCCCCCGATGTGTAGTAGCTTCCAGGAGCCCCAAAAATTCCAGCCCAGATTTTTCAGAACATGGGTGCAACCCCCGTTTTGAAGTCGTAAGGACCCCAAGAAATCCATCCCAGATGTTTGCAAAGATCTGTGAAGCTGGAGGCATACTTGGGTGAGGAGTCCGTGGAGAGATCCATCCTGGCCCTGACCACTCAGTTCGACCTTGTGGCGATCACTGAGAGACTGAGTGAAGGAGGGGCGGCTTACACTCGTGCACTGGTTGTTGGAAGTTGTTGTTTTGCCGCCCTAAACCCTAAACCCCAAACCCCAAACCCCAAACCCTAAACCCTAAACCTTGAACCCCAAACTACTACGACTGGTTACACTCTTCCTTGACATTCTTGTTGAAGACTGTGTTAGGGTTAAGGGCTCTAACCCCAAAACCCTGAGAACCTAAAAGCCCTACTCTTGGTCCTATCACGATTGGTGACCCTTAAGACCCAATCCTCTTGAACCCAATAAGGGATAATATCAGGCCGCATGCCCTGAAAACAAGTCCTACTCTTAGTCCTAAACCCTAAGCCCGAAACCCTAAACCCTAAAGAGGACTGGTGACCCTCGGCCGCATGTATGGACTTTCGGCCTCTGAAATCGCGGCCATTGGTCGCCGCGTCGGCCACAAGAACGAGGGCAGCAGGCGGGGGAGACAGGGTTTTTCAGGGTTTCAGTCCCTGAACCCTAAAACCCAAACCCTAAACCTAAACCCTAAACCCTAAACCCCTGGACCTTCAACACGCTTTGTTTGGGTTTAGGGCCTTTTTATGGCTTAAAAAGGTTTAGGGCCATGTTTAGGATTTAGGGCCTTGGGGGTTTATAGGGTTCCGGAGGAGGCTGAGGGGTTTTTGAGGTCCCGTGTTTTGTGTTGCATTTCTTCAAAAATGCGGCTCTGTGTTTAGGGCCCCAAACCTTGAAACTTTCATGCTAAACCCTCCTAAACCGCAAGCCCTAAGCCCTGCACTCTAAAGCCTGCCGGACGAGGACAGGAGCTTCAAACCGTACCAACAACCCGGGAGGCTAACAAAGAGTAGGTCATGTAGGCCTACAGGCCCTTACTTGCAGGGTAAGTCAGGGGAAACTACGGTTTTTTCTTTGTGGGTTTAAGGGCTTATCTGCGGGTAGTTACATGGTACCTTAATCTGGTCCTCTACCTTCTTTGCACCCAGAATCGCCAAACTCGAAACCCTAAATCCTTAAATGGCTAGCTTCCCGAATTAGGGTTCCTTTTTTGGTAGCCAGTAGACGGCGGCACCCTTCAAAAAACGATCCCAATAAGGGACCCTAGTTTAGTAAAAGCCCTCCAAATGCCACCAAAAGCTCTCATGAGCCTCGGACTCAGAGCAGGCCCTGCTGCCCTTTTGGGGTTTGATGTACTGGGCTCCCTAAACCCTGAGCCCAAAACCCGAAACCTTACACCCTGAACCCTAACCTAAACCCCGTACACCCTACGACCTGAACTCTTCGGAGTTACCCCAAACCCCAAACCCCAAGCCCCAAACCCCAAACCCCAAACCCTAAACCCTAAACCCTAAACCCTACACCCTAAACTACCTTAAACCCTAAACTACCTTCAGCCCTATCCTCTGCGGAGTCTCCTGGGTCAGGAAGCTGGACTGGTTGGATGAGGAGCTCCGTTTGGCCACCTACATGGCCAACAAGAGCACCCAGATCTACAACTTCGCGCCCTTTGGCCTCTTTAGGGTTTAGGGTTTAGGGTTTAGGGTTTAGGATTTAGGGTTTAGGGCTTAGGGTTATTTCAGGGTTTTAGGGTTCTCGTGCTTTAGGACTGTAGGGTTTCAGCGGTTGAGGGTTTTAGGGTTTTAGGGTGTTAGGGTTTTTTAGTTTAGGGTTAGGGTCTTGGGTTTAGATTAAGGTGTGCAGGGTTAGTGTTTGCTTGGAGGTGCATAGTAGCCGTAGAGAAAGTGCTAACTCATAGCTTTCTGCTGCAAAGGATCTTATTTTTCGCTTAGAACCTGATGTTTGGGGCACTTCTTGGCTCCTAAGTCCTAAACTCTGAGCCCGAAGGCCTAAACCCTACATCTCACATCTAACTATGCCAGAACCTTAAACACTGTACCCTAAACCCTAATCCCCCCCAGAGCCAGCCCCCGAAACTATGGGAGCCCACATGCCCCTAAACCCTAAACCCTAAACCCTAAACCCTACACCCTAAACCCTAAACCCTAAACCCTAAACCCTAAACCCACCTGAGGCAGAAGCTCTTTGACAGACAGTCCATGAGCCTGTTCGGTACACCGAAGCGTCTGAAGGAGGCAGTCGCCACCTTCGAGAAGTTGAATCCGAGCAGCTAGGGTTTAGGGGTTTAGGGGTTTAGGGGTTTAGGGTTTAGGGTTTAGGGTTTGGGGTTTGGGTTTGGGGTTTGGGGTTTGGTGTTGGTTTGGGGTTTAGGCTTTCTTGCAGTTTCCGTGTTGTCAGAGAGCATGGAGCCATGGAGGGGAGCAACAAAAAGGGTGCGCCCTGCGTCAGGGTTTTGGGGTTTAGGGTTCAGGGTTTACCTGCAGAACCCCAAACCAGTCAGTTTTTTTTGTAGGTGAGTACCATCAAAAGCCCCCTCAGAGGATTCCTAGGCAGCCTACCGAAAAGCAGCTTTTGGGTTCTCAAGGTAGGGTTTGGGATTCAGGATTTCGAGTTTCGGGTTTAAGGGCTTCCACAAAAGCGAAAGCACACTCCCAAATCCTGCTTTGATTCGGGTTGTCACGGAGTTGGACGTTCCTGTTGCCTCCGTGCCACAGGAGCAGAGGTAGGTTGGAACATATGATGATTTCTCAAAAGTATGGTCCCTTTTGGAGTCTTTCTTGTAAGATGGCCCCTCTTACTTAGGGTACCCCAAAATGGGACTCTAATTTAGAGAACCGACCATATAGGTTTGGTTTGTAGTACCCCTAGTCCCCTACATAATCCTTATACAGCCACATAGAAACATTTAAGTTTTATGGGGCCCCCAAACCTACAAGTACCATCGTGACGTGCCAATCCATGAGTCCTTCGCAAATGACCTATAACCCCTAAAGCTCGGTGGCCCAGTGGTGCCCTTTACCCTTTTTGGGTTACGGATTCCCTTGTAAAGAAACCAACCCAAAAAGGGTGCCCTTAGTATAATATGGTTACTGGCAAGTTAATGGGCTACCAAGAAACCCTAAATTCCAAACCCCTAAGCCCCCCAAACCCAAAGACCCTATAAGGTGGTTGACCTCAGTTTACATCCTCCTGTGGGTTTTCTTGGGCACCCTAAACCCTAAACCCTAAACCCTAAACCCTCAACCCTCGACCCTCGACCCTCGACCCTCGACCCTCGACCCTCAACCCTCAACCCTCAACCCTCAACCGACCGAGCAGTCTCAGGAGGGGTCCCAAGAGAGGGTGTAGCTGTTACCGTAGCCCTAAACCCTAGACCCTAAACCCTAAACCCTGAACCCTAAACCCAAGATCACCTTGTTGGGGAGGTAATCTAATTCATGTCGTATCCCCCTTAAACCCTTTATTTTCAAGAAAACCCCAGAAAACTCGGCTACTAAGTCACGCGGAGTATGGCTACATGTAAGCGCTCTAGTCTAGGGTGAACCTTAAGGCACGTCTTGACAACAGCACCTTGGACCCATAATGTAGATCCTAACGCCTATAAGCCTTCACAAACCCTAAACCCTACAGGGTTTAGGGTTTGGGGCTCAGGGTTTCGGGTTTAGGGTTTAGGGTTTAGCCTTGAGGGGATGGAGCGCCAAGGAGGCTTGTGGCCTGGAATACTGCAACGCGCGCACGCGCTGGCCAGCCTTCGAGCACGACAGCAGCACAGGCGGAGCAGATGTTTCGGGGTTTGGGGTTTAGGTCACGAAGTTGGGCCGCTTCCATTCGTACCCTAAACCGAAACCCTAAACCCTAAACCCTAAAGCCCCTTGTCCGTACATCCTACACCCTAAGCCCTAGACCCTACCCTAAACCCACTTGTAGAGGCCGTGGGGGGTTTAGGGTTTAGGGTTAGGGTTTAGGGTGTAGGGCCTAGGGTTTAGGGTTTAGGGTTAGGGTTTAGGGTGTAGGGTCTAGGGTTTAGGGTTTAGGAGATTCTCTGATTGGAAGTGAAGAAAGGCTCTTTCCCACCCACGAACCTCATTAATGCCCTTAGCCCTGGGCCCTGCAAAGCTGCCATAACCCTGTATTCCCTATCTTCCAAAGACCACCCTACATGCTCTAGATTTTAAGAATATATGTCTGTTTTACAATAAATTTACATTCTAAACCCTAAACCCCAATCACGCACAAACATGGAAAGTTTGCACCACGGACTGGCCGCCATCGTAGCGCGCTGTGAGTGCGGATTGGGCGCACTACGACACTCCCTTTCAGGAGCAATCTGGACTCGAGCCTGCATAGTTCACACGAGAGATGCACTGTGCATGTTACTGTTACTACGAAAACCATCGACGCCCTGCTACCCACAGTATGTTTGTGGCTACAGGCACGACAAACTGAGAAGCTGTATCATACATAGTTTGCCTGAAGGATCTGTGAGAAAAGCCCTTCTCATATGATGGAAGCCCTAGAATCCCAAAGCCTAAAGGCAGCTCTAAACCCTCAACCCTATGCTGCCCAGGCGTAGATGGATTCGCCATTGAAGTGGGACTGGTGGAATACTTGGCCGCTCGGATAGGGTTTAGGGTTTAGGGTTTAGGGTTTAGGGTTTAGGGTTTAGGGTTTCGGATTTAGCATGTCGGTTTGAGGGTGTGGGGTGTAGGTTAGGGTGTTTGGTGTTTAGGACTTCGCGTTTAGACTTTAGGGTTTTGCCGAGACGGAGTCCAGCTGCTGCGGTTTTCTTAGGGGTACTTGGAAATATTTTTTTGTGTACGATAATTCCCAAAGAAACAACAAAGAACGTTTTTTGCTAGGGCTCCAAGTTCAGTATAGATTTGGACGGAGGGTCTGGCGCTCAGTCTCTCAGGGTGTGGTGGAGCTGTTCCAACCTGGCCGACCTCAACCCTAAAACCCTAAAACCCTAAAACCTAAACCCTAAACCCTAAACCCTAAACCCTAAACCCTAAACCCTAAACCCTAAACCCTAGCCCTAAACCCTAAACCCGACACCGCAGTCCATCCCACCGAGGAGTACATGCTGGTGGTCGAGCTGCAGGATGGTCCGTGTTGAAAGATTTTTGGGGTTTAGGGTTTGGGGTTTAGGGTTTAGGGTTTGGGGTTTAGGGTTTAGGGTTTGGGGTTTAGGGTGTGTCAGGGGAGGGCGCGCGCTCGGGTGTGAAACACCCCGGGCCGCGCGCTCGCGTTGCCCGTCAACCCACCTCGGCCACCCAAACTATACTAATTAGGGTTTAGGGTTTATGGAGTGTATTTTCTTGTGCCCTGATGCTTGCTTTGATGTTTTTAAAGTTGTGCTGTTAGGGTTTAAGCTGGAGTTGGGGGTAGCCTCGGCCCTTTTCGGGCCTTCGGCGTGTCAGGGCCCGTAGAGGCCCTTATTTATTTGAAGGTCAGGGAAACCCTTTGTGCCTGCTCCTGGATTCCCCTTTTAAGGGCCTCAAGCCTTTTGGTGGCTCTTGGGGCCTTTTGGGGGCTTCCTGGGGGCTTTCCTGGCCCTTCCGGGGTAAAATGAAGGGGTGCCCAAAACCATCGATTTCAGTACAAAAAATCGCATTTTTCATTGCGGGTACGGGCATCCTGGGGTCCCCCTTCTTTTAGGGGGCCTTTTGAAATCTTTTGA